AGATTTCAGGACCTCCAACCTTTCATTGTAGAATTTTTGTAGGTAGTTTGTAGATTTTAGTAAGCTTCCCAGAGGAACAGCACTCTCAAGAGTACACTCACAACAGCAAGAATGTTCTGTCTTTGAAAAATAATAATCTCAGGAAACTCAGAAATTTCAAATTTTGCTACTCAAGCTTGCAGTAGCTTTTGTCCTTGGTCACTTTCTGTCACTAATTACCAAGGCTTATGAGAGAGGAGGCAGGTAGAGGCCGGTTAGGCAGATAGAGAGGGAGGGTCTGGGAAGAGACAATGCTTGCAAGACCGCACTGCATTGCCCCTGTTATGTAGCATGCCATGCTAAGTTGGAACGCATTTCTATACAACGTTAATAAGCAGTTTTACATTTCTAACCAGATATAACTTGTTTTGCAGCTAGCAGGAGGAAATGTGGCTAAGAACTTCTTTTTATACCAAGATGTCTGCTCAAAAGAGACTTTCCAGTCACCCACCCAGGTGCAGACAAGGATGGAGGGTGTCCTAAAATTACCCTGAACTCATTATAATGCCATTAGCATTGTGGTTTTAGCTACCCCCCCCCATGGTTTTTGCTTAGGCACTCATGGGTAACCAAGATGAAGTCACTATGGACAACCCCAGGCATGCACAGTTGCAACGCCAAGGAGGGGAATTTTATCCTCCAATTAAGGCAGAACCTACAGAAGACCTCCTTGTTTCTGCCACATAAAAGACCCAGAATTCAGCCCCATGTTTGGCAACCCTGTTTGGGTCCCTCTCACTGCTGGGAGCTTTTCTGTCACTTGGTAAATCCTACTCTGCCTTACTCACTCTCTGGTGTCTGCATGCCTTATTTTTCTTGGTTGTAGGACAAGAACTCAGACCTCACTAAACTAAGTAGTAAGGAGACTGCAACACTTACATTTAACACAATGTCTTAATTCACTGTTACCAAACTCCAAGTATATTTGAAGGACATTTTTTTTCAAATGTATTTGTGTTTTCGTTTGGCTTAAGTTTTCTTGCTGTTGTAGTTCTCAATTCTTACAACATTTTAATAAATATTTGTTTTCCTAAAACATTAAGAACTTAGCTCAATGTTTATAATGATATATGGTTAATCTTTCTGTATATCTGGGTATTTTATAAAGATTCTATTTATAACCTTAACATATTTGGGCACTTATCACATTACTATAGCAGCATGCTAAGTTGGAACCTTTCTATACAGTGTTAATAAGCAGTTTCGCATTTCTAACCAGATATAACTTGAATCTGAAACACTTGGGTTGATTTATTTATTTTGTACTAGAAAATTAGTCTATTATTTGTTGTACTATATTTGTGTATTATAGAAAAATTCTATATAATACAATGTATTTGTATTGTAGAAAATGTCTGTTTCTTTTATATTTTATACATCTGTAGAATGTCTATCTTGACTTTTACCTGCATTACTTTTTGTGTTAAAATATTTATGTTCTCAATACATTAAACTGGTTTTCATTATTTAAAGTAGCTTTATTTAAAATTTTCTAGCTAGGTATGACTTTTTAAGCTATGAATACCTGAAAATATTAGAAAAAGTCTTCTATGAAAAATGACTGCAAAAAATGCAAAACTACAAATTTTAGCTTGCATAAAACTTGCCAAAATAAACCCAGCTAATATGTATACAACAAAATAAGTGTTAATAAAAATAAATGGCTTCAATATCATACTACAAAATTGGGAAAGATTAGAAAAAATAGATAAAATTTGAAAACAAAAGTATTAAAACTATTAACACATAACACTTCTTGAGAGAGTTGATCAATTTGTTAGAAAATAGTAATATTTGGTAAAAATAAACCTTCTTAATTTGGAAATACAGTTGGACAGAAGACTCAAAGAGTGGTAACAAAAAATGTGAGATATTTAAGTAATAGACTCTTTTCTGTTAGTAGATAAGCTAACTTATGAAAGTTACCACATACATACTATAGTAACACCTGCTTTTCCCTTGTCTGTTTGGAAAAATTTAAATTTAATCCCAGTAACAGGAAACATCTAAACAGAGGCAGCACTTCTAAAATGTGTGAGATATATCTACAAGTCAGCAACTGTAGTTCTTGATGGTTTTGAAAATATTTAGGAAAGATACACAGTGACTAAATTTTTTGATGCCCCCTATCTACCTGAATCATATGAACAACACAATAGATAAGATAATCTATCTACCAAAAAAGTTTGATATAGTGCACAAGAATATAAATAAAATAGCTAAGGAAAGTCTATCAAAATACTGTGAAGCAAAGTGTGGATGAATATTAAATGTTTTAAAAATATGTTAATAGTGGGAAAATTGGACATAAAATGCTTTTAAAATGTCAGTTAAAATAGCCCATAAAACTTGGGGAGGCCAAGACGGGCGGTTCACGAGGTCAGAAGATCGAGACCATCCTGGCTAACACGGTAAAACCCCGTCTCTACTAAAAATACAAAAAATTAGCCGGACGTGGTTGCGGCGCCTGTAGTCCCAGCTACTCGGGAGGCTGAGGCAGGAGAATGGTGGGAACCCGGGAGGCGGAGCTTGCAGTGAGCCGAGATCGCGCCACTGCACTCCAGCCTGGGCGACAGAGCGAGATTTCATCTCAAAAAAAAAAAAAAAAAAAAAAAAAAAGCCAATAAAAGAAACAAATGAAGAAGCTGAGTCAGGAGAATATTTTGAACCTGGGAAGCAGAAGTTACAGTGAGCCAAGATTGTGCCACTGCACTCCAGCTTGGGAAACAGAGAGAAACTCTGTCTCTAAAAATAAATAAATAAATACTTTTTGAATAACACTTATTCCATCAAATTGAAAATAGTCAAAATATCCATCCTTATGTCAAGGAAAATAAAGGAGGCACAGGTTTTAAGAAGAAAGTGATTCCATGGGAGAAAGGATATTGGAATGGATTTTTAAAATGTAAGTGCTCACATATATAATTATATAGAAATGCCAAAAATTACTCTGAAAGTAATAAAGATGAAAAGAAAAAAAAAAATACTGGTAAATACCAGGACAGTGACATGGAAATTTGGTTTGAGAAAAAAAAAATTTCCACAAAGCAAAGGAGAAGAACAAAAAGTTAAGTTGATTAGATACAGGAGCTGGATTTGTGACTATTAATGGTAAAGAGCCAGCACGTGGCATTCTGATTTTCTTAAAGGAGAGAGTACAGGGCATTTAATGGAAATATATTTTAAAATACAGGAAAGTCTGTCTGATTACAGAAGACCTAAATCTGTAGATCGAAAGGGTACACAATATATACCAATGAAGTTATTTGTATTTAACCATCTGTGAAACATATATTGATTAAGAAATTGGATTTTGACAATAAATTATTTTGGATTTGAGAAAGAATTTTCCTGTCACTGGGAGGTTGGCCTCAGTCCTACCTCAGCAGCAGAGTTGCTGGCAGACAATGGAGCAGCATCCACTGAAATAATTTTGAGGGAGGAGCAAATGGGCCAGGAAATCGAGATCCTTTGACTAATCCACCTTCACAAAGCAAAAGTCCTGGGGTTACCAAATCCATTTGCCATCAGAGAGTGTATCCCAGTGTATTTTTTCTAAAAAATCTGTTACTTATAATCTAGGGCAAATAGCAACAGGACTTTGAATATCATATTCTAATAATGCCAACATTTGTATCCTTATATCGGAATTCTCTCATCACCAGGCTTGTACATCCAATTGGCTCTTGGGATTTGGATACTTCAAAACGTCCTAAACTTAATATTTACAAACAGAACTAGACGTTTTCTTTGTAAATCCTACACATGCCTATCCCATTCCATAAATAACACCCCTCTCACTGCTCAGTCAGGCAACCCAGGAGTCATCCCTTGTGAGGGATGCAGTAAATCCATGCGTCCCTCACATGCTGCCCTGAATCCATTAATATATCCAACTTCTCTGCCTCCAACGCTCTTGCCAAACCCTTCATGTGTTTCCATGGTCACCTGCCAGTCTATGCCCTCATTGTTCTTGGTTGCAGCATCACAATTGGTTCCAACTGCTCTTCCTCCGTCCACCCTTATACCACTATAATATGCAAAATGATAAATTATTAGAAGAAATGTAAATCTCATATTTGAAATAAACTACTTAATGCCTTACAACATTTTTATCTCAAGGTAAGAGGGAGAAATAACCAAAACGTCTTATCATGGCTTTTTCTTTTTTTTTTTTTTATGGAGTCTCACTGTTGCCAGGCTGGGATGCAGTGGCATGATCTTGGCTCACTGCAACAACCTCCACCTCCCAGGTTCAAGTGATTCTCCTGCCTCAGCCTCCCGAGTAGCTGGGACTACAGGTGCCCACCACCACGCCTGGCTAATTTTTGTATTTTTAGTAGAGACAGGGTTTCACCATGTTGGCCAGGATGGTCTCCATCACTTGACCTCATGATCCGCCCATCTCAGCCTCCCAAAGTACTGGAATTACAGGCGTGAGCCACCGCGCCCGACCTATCATGGTTTTAAAGAATTATAAGATCTGGAGCCTTTCTGTAGTCCATTTTCATTCCTTACCACCTTCTTTCTTGCCAGCTGTGCCATAGCCACTCTTGAACTCATTCCGTGCCTTGCTGTCTCCAATCTATTCTCCACACAGCAATATGAATTATGTCAAGGAGTTATCTGTTTAAATCCTTTCTAAGGCTTCACTTGCTCTGAGACTGGAATGTAATTCCATTATAATTGTCTATAAGTAGTATGTCCGCCCAACTTAGCATCCTAACCAGACCATTTTTAAAACTGAAAGGAAGTGTTATCAATATTTAAACAAGGACATCAGGCATAGAAGTGAATTTTCCTGAGCATATTAGGTATATGCTTTTCCTATGCTGCAGGTCATTTTATAAGTTATAGTCATGGTTCACATCTTATATTCCTATACTGATTACTTCTGGGAGGAACCTAAAACACTTTAATTTATTTAATTTCAATGTCTATATTAACTTCCAAACTCTTCATTTCATTTAGATCTTCTTTATTGAATTTCAGATATACTTTCCATTGTAATGTGAAGAATTTAGTGGTTCTAAAATCAATTAATATTATATTGTACTTAGGATGTTATAGGCATACTTCTGCTTAATATTTTCATGTCCTAACCTTTAGTATCGTAAGTAAGCCTTATGGACTTATGAGAAAATACTGAGGTTGGTTTAACCTGGCAAGTATTAAAACAAAATAGTTTCTGGTTATCTGACAAATGAAAATAGAAACTTTCACAGATAATCATCCCCAGTACAGCATTTGATGTATGGAAAGAGCATGTAATCATCTGGTGACAAGGTTTTGAAACTTGGCTCTACTATGACCACTGGAAATAGGTATGTAAATTATTTCAACCAGACAGCATGTAAGCAAGTTTGAATAATTATTTCCTATGAACTAGTTTCAAGGTGAATTAGTGAGAAATTTCCACTTGTAAAAATGTAGAAAAAACTTTAACTGTGGCATAGTTCCATATTTTTTTCTGAAATGAGTGGTTCAATTTCTCTCATCTCGATGCATTTTTAAGCACATGCTTCATTTTTTTCTGTGTTAACTCATTTAAAAAAAAATATATCACTTACTCTGAAACAAAAGTAAGTGCCAACCACCACAAAAAAAAAAGTTTATATCATTTTACTGGAGTTTCAAAAGCACTTGTTTATGCAGAATTGTGAGGCTTTGCACTGGGTAGCAATTATCTTCCAAAGTGGGTAAAAAACTACTGCATATAAATATATTGCAGCTTAAAATTTCATCTTTTGGATGCTGGTAAAGAAAGAAGTAAAACTAAGGAAACAAATAAGCCAATATTACATCCTGCTGCAGTCCTCTCGGTGGGTTGCATGATATTTCTTCATGAATAAAGATGGAGTAAACCACATTTGTAGCATAATAAGAAAAGGTAATTAGTGTCATCTATTCACCACTGTTAGAATTTGACTAGAGCAATTTGATTACGTTTATCACATTCTAAACTTTGAGTAAGTTTTTCAGCTCTCTAATGCAGTTAGTGGTGAAGTGTGCGGAATAAAAGTCAGCTTCCCAGTATGATTGATGAGCAACGACTCAGAGGGATGGAACTGAAAAACAGGAAAGGAAAAAAAAGAGTAAGAAATTGTAATATAGATACTGTCTATTGGTTTTTAAGTAAATCTCATCTAAATCAGTTTGAATCTGTGGCAAAACTTACATAAAAGTAGCAGTACTTCTTTCCAAACAAAATCAAATGTGTGTGTGTGGAAGAAGGTTTCCATGTCCATATAGATGGAAAGGACATAATATTTAGGACAAATGCATTATTAGACTTTGTTAAACAGCAAATTAATTTCTCATTTTTAATTTAGAATCATTTAAGATAAAATGTTTTCACATATATTAGTAATATATTAATTGAAACATGTAAAGCAAAAAGTCTCCATAGTGTTTAAGATACTAAATTATGAATGAATAAGTACTATTTCAGTCTCACATATTAACATTTTCTGGTTAAAAATTCTTCTAACTTACGTATTTTGTGTTTATTTTTAGCTCCCCCATTAGCATACATATGGTCCAGAAATATTTTGTGAATCAACTAAAAGAGTTAGATGTGGAGCTAGTCCCAGGAAAACCCGCAGCTCAGGGTCATTTATGGGAATTCGAAGACAGGAAGACATGGAAAATTTTGACAGGGGAGACATTTGAAGCCGTGAGAGTGTTGGGATAAAGACACCAGAGTGTAGACAAGGTATAGAATAAACAACAGAGTAAGCGGGGACAGGGGAGAGATTACTGACTCTGAAAGAAGAGTAGCCCTGCATCAGAATCAGTAATGAGATTATGGAGATGACTTTTTTTTTTTTTTTTTTGAGACGGAGTCTCGCTCTGTTGCCCAGGCTGGAGTGCAGTGGCCGGATCTCAGCTCACTGCAAGCTCTGCCTCCCGGATTCCCGCCATTCTCCTGCCTCAGCCTCCCGAGTAGCTGGGACTACAGGCGCCGCCACCTCGCCCGGCTACTTTTTCTATATTTTTTAGTACAGACGGGGTTTCACCATGTTAGCCAGGATGGTCTCGATCTCCTGACCTCGTGATGCACCCGTCTCGGCCTCCCAAAGTGCTAGGATTACAGGCCTGAGCCACCGCGCCCAGCTGGGAGATGACTTTCTGTATCAGCTATGTGTCAACGCTGTCCCGAGGATGCACTGGAAAGAAACCAGCACCCTGGATTCAAGGGATTTATGATTTCTGGGGAATATACAATAAACAAAAAAAATTATTATTATTTTTAAAAACAAGCCCATTTTGTTTTATGAAAGAAGACAAGGTATGAGAAAAACACAGGGATTAAAAAAACAACACTAAAGTAGCTTGTTCGAGTTCTCCTTTTTAAGAAGGGTTTGCTGAGGCAAACACTGGAATGAACTGAAGGAATTAGGGACGTAGAAATCCAGGAGATGAGCACTCCAGGCAAAAGAAAGAGCCAATGCAAGGACACCAAAAATTCCCTTTTGCCTCCTTTCAGTCAGTCTTGCCTTTCTTGTAGATGACTAATCTGATTGCGATGAGCACAGCCTAGTTCTATTTGTTCTTCAATTTCGTATAAATGGGATAATGTGGCACATTTTCTTTTGTGCCTACCTTGTGCACTATGATAATGTTATAATGATTCATATTTATTTTTCAGGTTTTTTTGGGTGTTGAGTGATATTTAATTGTGTGACTATGCAGCAAGTTATTCCTTTTTAAACTGAGGGGTATACAAAAAGGAACACAAAGCTGCTATGAAAGAAATGTTTGCCCAAGTGTGATATGAAGCTACATAACTATGCAGATGTTTTGTGGATATTTGTTTTTGTTGTTCATATACACAATGGGCAAACTGCTAGGTCATAAGGAAGGCACGTGTTTAATTTTATAACAAAATGACAGATGGGTTTCAAAAGTGGATGCATGATTTCTATACTCCCAGAAACAATTTATACGTAGCTCCACATCTTCACCAACATGTGATATTGTCAGTCTTCATATATATTTGTGTGTGTGTGTATACTACACACATATATATGTGTATATTACACACTGTATTTAAATTAATAAACTTTTTAAAAAGTATGTTTAGGTTCACAGCAAAACTGAATGGAAATAATAGCAACTTCCCATACACACCCATCCCCAAGCGCACACACAGTCTGCCCCACTATCCACATCCTGAACCTCGATGGGTACCTTTGTGGCAACTCATGAAATAACATTGACACATCGTTATCACCCAAAGTCCTTAATTTACCTTAGGGCTTGCTCTTCGTGTTGTACATTCTATGGGTTTTGGCAAAGGAATAATGACATGTATCAACCACTGTAGTTACATACAGAAGAGTTTCACTGCCCTAAAATCCTTTGTGCTTTATTTGTTCATCTCTCCCTCCCCATTAATTCCTTGCAACCACTGATCCTTCTACTGTCTCCATAGTTCTACCTTTTCCAGAATATCATATAATTAAAATCATTCAGTAGATTTTCAGATTGGCTTATTTTGCGCAGTAACATGATGTTCTTCTACATGTTTTTGTAGCTGGTAGCTAATTTCTTTTTATCACTAATATTTGATTGCATGAATGTGCCAGTTTGGTTTCCCCTTCACCTTTTCAAGGACATCTTTATTGTTACCACGTTTAGGCAGTTATGAATAAAGCTGATATAAATATCCATATATAGATTTTTGTATAGACATATGTTTTCACGTTTTCTCTTGATTTGGGAATATAGCAAAGAGTGTGGTTGCTGGGTCATACGATAAGAGTACATTTAGTTTTGTAAATAACCGCATAAGTGTCCTCCAAAGTGGTTGTGCTATTTTGTAGTCTGACTATCAATGAGAGTTCCTGTTGCTCCATATCCTTGCCAGCATATGGTGGCGTCAGTGTTTTGGATTTGGGCCATTCTAATAGGTGAGTAATCATATCCCATTGTCTTTTTTAGACGGAGTCTCACTCTGTCGCCCAGGCTGGAGTGCAATGGCGCGATCTAGGCTCACTGCAAGCTCCACCTCCCGGGTTCACACCATTCTCTTGCCTCAGCCTCCTGAGCAGCTGTGACTACAGGCACCCGCCACCATGCCTGGCTAATTTTTTTATATTTTTAGTAGAGACGGGGTTTCACCGTGTTAGCCAGGATGGTCTCGATCTGCTGACCTCGTGATCCACCCACGTCAGCCTCCCAAAGGGCTGGGATTACAGGCGTGAGCCACCGATCCCATTCCCATTGTCATTTTAATTTGCAATTCACTAATGACATATGATGTTGAGCATGTTTTCATATGCTTACTTAATATCTATATATCTTCATTGGTGAGGTGTCTTTTCAGGTCTTTGCCATTTAACTGCGTTGTTTGTCATCTTATTGTTGAGTTTTAAGAGATCTTTGTATGTTTTGGAGGACAGTCCTTTCTTAGATGTATCTTTTGCAATGATATTCTCCCAATATGTGGCTCATCTTCTCGTTCACTAGACATTGTCTTTCACAGGGCAGAAGTTTTTAATTTTAATAAAGTCCCACCTTTCAATTGTCTTTTTCATAGATCTTGCCCTTCGTGTTCTATCTAAAAAGTCAAAATCATAAGTAAAATACCCAGGATTTCTCTTATGTTAACTTTACAAGTTTTAGAGTTTTGCATACTATGTTTCTGTTTATGATTTATTTTGAGTTAATTTTTGTGAAAGGTGTAAGTTCTGAGTCCAGATTAACTGTTTTCCTTGCGAATATTCAGTTGTCCCAGCACCATTTGGCAAAAAGTCTTCTTTTGCTCTATGCATTCCCTTTGCTTATTTGTCAATCAGTTGACTATATTTATGCAGGTCTATGTCTGGGCTCCCTATTTTGTTCTGTTGATCTATTAGTCTATTATTTTGCCAACACCATATTGTCTTGATTATTTAAACTTTCTCGTAGGTCTTGAAGTCAGGTAATTTCAGACCTCTGATTTTGTTTTTCTTCTTCAATATTGAGTTGGCTATTCTGGGTCTTTTGTCTTTCCATACAAACATTAGAATCAGTTTGTTTATATACAAAAAAAAAAAAAAAAAAAAAAACCCTGCTGGTATTTAATTGGGATTGTGTTTAATATATAGATACAGTTGGGAAAAACTGACCTCTTGACCTTATTGATCCTTTCTGTCTATGAAAATTGAATATTTTAATTATTTATTTATTTGTTCCCCTTCAATCAGATTTTGTAATTTCCCTCAGATACATCTTGTACGTATTTTGTTAGATCTATACAAAGGCGTTCCATTTTATTAGGTGCTAATGTAAATGTTAATGCCTTTTTAATTTTAAATGTTACATCTTCATTTTTGGTGTATAGCAAAGTGATTGACTTTCATATATTAATCTTTGTATAATGGTTACAATCTTTCTATAATTGTTTAATAGTTCCAAGAATTTCTCTTTGGCCAATTCTTTGGGATTTTCTACATAGGGAATATTTTTGAGGACAAAGACAGTTTTATTTTTCCTTTCCTACCTGTATATCATTAATTTCCTTGTCTTTTCTTATTGCATTATCTAGGAATTATTTCCCGTCATTCATAGTTTGCTTCAACTTTGCATGCGTATGTATGTAAATAAGTGTTGAATTTTGTCAAATGTTTTTCTGCATGTAATGACACGATCTTGTGGTTGTTCTTCTTGAAATTGTTGATGTAAAGGCTTAAACTAATTGATTTTTGAATGTTGAAAAAGCCTTGAATACCTGGGATACGTCCCACATGGCTGTGGTGTATAGTTATTTTATACATTGTTGGATTCAACTTGCTAATATTTTATTAATAGTTTTACATTTATCTGTATGGTATATATTGATCTCTAGTTTTATTTTCTTGTAATGACTTTTTTGGTTTTGGTATTGGGTTAATGCTGGCCTCCTAAAATGAGTTAGAAAGTATTTCTTCTGTTTCTGTCTTCTGTAAAAGATTGGAAAAATAAAAAAAACAATGGTATAATTTCTTCTTTAAACGTTTGGGAAAATTCACTGGTGAACTGATCTGGGTGTGGTGGTTTATGTTTTGGAAGGTTATTAACAATTGATTCTAATTGTTTTATAAATTTGTCTCTTCATAGTATCTTTTTCTTCCTCTATGAGTTTAGTTATATTGTGTCTTTGAAGGTTTCATCTTCATCTAGGTTTCATCTAGGTTATAAAATTTGTGAGTGCAGAGTTGTTCCCAATATTTATTTATTATCCTCTTTATGTCCATGGGATCTGTAGTGAGACCCTTCTTTCATTTCTGATATTAGGAATTTATATCTTCTCTCTTTTTTGTCTTAGCTAGCATGGCTAGATGCTTATAAATTTATATGTTTTTAAGAAAGTTAACTTTCAGTTATGCTGATTTTCTCTATTGATGTCCTGTTTTCAGTTTTACTGATCTCTGCTCTAATTCTTGTTTTCTGCTTACATTGGACTTAATTTGTTATTCTTTAAAGTGTTTTTAATTCTTGCTATTCTAGTTTTAAGAAGTGGTATCTCATAATGATTTTAATCTTTATTTCCCTAATAATGAATGAGGTTTAACCTTCTTTTAATGTATGGATTCTCATTTGTGATGTCTCTTTAAATATTTTTGTCTTTTGGTGGGAGATTGTTTACATTTTTATTGTTAATTTGTAGGAGTTATTCATATATCCTAGATGCAATATCTGTAAGATATGTATGGTAAAATTTACTTAGAATCTCAGTTTGGCTGTTGATTTTCCTATTTATGTATATTGAAGAATAAAGATTATAAATTTGGATCAATTCCAAGTTATCGTTTCTTATGATTTTTTTATGGCACATAAAGAAGTCTTTTTCACCCCTAAATCATAAATACATATTTTTCTATGCTTCCTAGAAATGAGGGATTTCTGTATAAGTCTATTATCCACAGTAAATTTTTATATTATGTGAAGTTGTGTTTGAGGTTTATTTTTATACATTCATTCAGTTGTTGCAGCATTATGTTTCCAATTACATTTCCTCATCTTCAAAAATTAATTACCTGGTATATGTGGAAGAGACATAGCAGAAGTGCCACCGTTCCACTTTCTTGGACCCGTTGCTAACATATTAGCAACTTTCTGATTCTCTTCCTTAGAATACTCACTCTTAGAACCCTGAGCTGTCATAGAAGCAGCCCAGGAACTTTGGTGACCAACCATGTGGAAAGGGAGAGTGGCCCATCTGAGCCCAGCCAACTGACATTTCTACAGACACTAGGCTCTGTGAGTGAAGCCATCTTGGAGCCTGCAAATCCAGCCTCAAGCTGCATACCATCAAGTTACTTTGTGGTGACAAAACGTGGGGCAGAAGAATTGCCCACCTGGTCCCTGGCCAAATTCCTGGACTACATATTAGTGAAATAGAATCAGCTTTGTTTTATTTTAAGTCGCTAACATTCAAAGTAGTTTGTAATTCAACACTAGATAACTAGAATATAATTTGGTGCTTAGAATTTAGGTGCTGAGGTAAGACATGCAGCTTTGGCATTTGGATTGGAAAACAGAAGTTAAAAGGATACAAGAAAATGGCGTGTAAATAACAATTCTTTTAGGCTACAGATAAGGACAACCTAGTTTTGCACTGACAGAATAATTAGCAAAACTTTACCCTACATAATGTGGAAAATCAAAAGTGCACCCCATGAATTCATGGATCCCACTAGGGAAATTCCAGAAAGCACCATGTGACTTCTGCTAATTGCCTAAGAAAATATGAGGGTAGAGAACTAAATTAGAAAATCATCATTTAACAATGACCCTTGTAATCATAGATTGAGACAAGAATGATCAATAATGCTAAAAGTGATGATTGAAAGTTTGATGAGATTCAGAACAATTTCATATTTTAAAGATATCTCCACACAAAATACATACTACTGGCACATCATTATTATGTAGTACTTTCAACATTATGGTTAATATATTCTTTACAGTGAAAAAATATCAGACACCATCTTAAATGACATATTCTAACTCCCTGGGATAAATCCATATTATATGTCTCCTAATACCACGCACTGAGAGGATTGCATTATTATGTTTGTGGTTTTATGGCTTAAGTGCATAAATCATGACTTGTCACCATAACCCTGCATTGTATCCTGGACCTAAAAATGATGTGTTTGAGTAAACTGGCGAAATAAGTTGGGTTCTGTGTATTAAATGGTAATAGGGGCTTGATTTCCATTTACTTAATTTAAAGTTGACCTCTGAATAGATAATAGAAGGTCCTTGTTCTTATACACACTGATGTATTGAGAGAAAAGGGGTAACTCATCAGCAAGTTACATGCTAGTTATAAAGCAGTTGTGTGTGTTATTTCTGCAACTTTTCTGCATATTTAAAAGTACTTAAAACTTAAAACCTTATCTAAAAGAGAAATAATTGTTCTGGCTAGATAATCATTGGCGCAGAGATGGAGCAACTCTGGATCTGTATGTGTTAATTTTCATAGATTTTACTTTTCTCTAATAATAATTGTCTAGAGTATTTTTCATTCAGTCAGCAGTTGCGGACTTCTGTAGAGTTCAGTTAACACCTGCAATCTCCCAGTGTTGCTAATTAAAAATATCGATAATAAAATGCCACATTTTAGTATACATTTGCTGATACAGCCTCTAGAATGCTCAGAGTTGGATTTTGATTTCACTAGGAGTCCTGGAGCTGTAAAATAATGTGGAAAATACATACATTTTTAATATATGCTATTTACCTTGATTCTGTAAGGTCTGATTTTCAATACCAAAGGATCATCTTTATTGACAGAAATCTGAATTCAAGGGACATGGAGGACGCCTATCTAAATCATTTTACTTAGAGAATTAGGAGTGAGAGATTTTTATTTATCATCAATTTCTCATAACTGCTTTACTTTCCAGCACCAGGTGTTCTAGACTCATTTTGTATTTTTCCAACCCAAGCCTAAGGATTAGCCATTTCTTCAAATAGATCTGGTTCTTTTTGTAGGGAATGGTACTTATAAACCAAGATTTGGATGGTAATTATACCCATTGCTCCCAGGATTTTATTGTTTCTAGCTGCCCTAAGCTGACTTTGTTAAGAAACATAAATATAAACACACAAATACATATACATATAAACCGAAAAATGCATCTAGGTAATTGTATATGTATAGACTAGATATAATCCAAATTTTGTTTAAACACCCTGAGTGTGGATAATACCTCCAACTAAAATCTGACACTAGGCTACAGAAAATGAGCCTTTCTCATTTTCATATTTATACCTGTTTTTTCCAACTGTGAGAACACTGGCGTGAATTATTCTCAAATGCATTTACTTGTGTTTTCCACCTCCTCTGAATTTAACTAAACTTCCAGCTGTGCCAATCTAAAACTTGGCCCTGAATAAGGAAAAGGGGGAGGGTAATGCGTAAAAGAATAGAAAATGTAGAATAGATCAAGCTGAAAAGAGAATGGATCTAAAACATGGTCCGGAAGATTGTGAAGAGTGGAGACTAATCAAATGCCTTTATATCAATAGAGATCATACAGTATTCCCAATGTTGCCTCTATTGTGAAGTATGTCATAAGGAACGCACTTCATTTCTCTGAACTTTGTTTTCCCTATTTGCACATTGAGGAATATGAATTGGAAGACAATTCAGGTCTTGTTTTGCTATAAGAATCTAAGCTCGGGCATTTTATTTTAACCACATCTGTCCAAGTGTGTAAAAATAAAATACGACAGAATGTCTATTAATTCTGTAAATATTTTCAAATTCAATATTAGTCTCCTCTGGTTTTCCTAATTATTCTTCCTGTGATGGAAAGCAGAAGACACTTGAATGAAATGTAAGATTTACATTTAAAATTGAACTGGACTAGCCTGGATTTTATTACATGAATGTACCTTTTATCTGGGATATCATTAAGGAGAGATGCAGAAAGGCAGGGATGAAGGCAATTTGAACATTGCAAGGCCTTTAATTCGATAAGCTCACTTCCTCCTGATATTTGGCTGTGGCTTCTACCTAACCATTTGCACATCTCTTCATGAAACAGCAACTATAATACACAATATAGAATATGACCATGGCAAAGCAGAGTCATTCATAATAGCAAAGAACACCTGTATTCAATTTTTTCTCACCTCACATGTTTGTATATATGATAGAACACACATTTAACTGTACATATTGTAGTCATTTTACAAGATCTCTGACTTCAGCATTAAAGGGGTGTTCTAAATGGCAGTTATCAAAAACACCTACCATCTCCTTTACGTAAGATATCAAGCTTTCCATGCACAAAGCTTACAAAATAAATGCATTTAATCTTTAAAAAATATTAATTCCTACTCTTGCAAGAACTCCGAGTGTGTTGATAATGAAGAAATGAGGGGCTTACACAGTTCAAACAGACACACGTGCAAAGTAAATCCTGCTGAGAGTATCTAGGAAAATGCAAATGGTGACGGAAGATGATTTCCTTTTCACTCTCTTAGACCCATCTTTTAACAAGCTGGTCTTTCTCCTTGCCAACCACAAGGAGAAGAGAAACATTTATTCTTTTCAGCCATTCCCACTGTACTTTCTCAGACCATTTAGAAAATAGCTCTATGGGGAACTTACACAATAATGGTCTAGTACTTGAAGAGAGACATTTGCCAGTGCTGGCATTTCTGGGCATGGTATCAAACTGCATTGTGTTGGTGGGCACAGACGCTTTCTCTAGCTGACAGCGGTAGTAAATCATGATGCCTGCCCAGAGAAGTAAATCTTTGGAAATATTTTGAACTGTGTCAGGTGCTTCTCTGAAACCTTTGTCGCATTACAGCAACGAGAGCACTAAAAAATCAGGTATACACACACACACATTTTTATATAAAATATCAGCCAGTCATCTGTTCAGAGGGTCCACAGGTCCTGTGTTTACAAAATGAGGCAGACTTATCACAAAGGTTTAAAATGTTTCCTTTACAAAGGAATAAACATTCCGTGGCTTGTCATGACAACTATAAAATTTCTACAAACTAACCTATCTTCTCTGTTTTGCTGTCTTGTTATGTTCATCGATATCAATGCAGACAAAAAAAAAAGTCAACCATACCTCAAAAATAATCATGGCAATATATAATCTAGGTATATGCACATTTACGCAGCATGTATGTGATTTTTTATGGTGGTTGTTCTTCATTTCTATGTCTGATAGCATTTATATTCTTAATATGTATTTATTGAGCATTTATTAAATGCTTACTGATCCAGAAAATTTTCAAGATATCTTATGTAAAGTTTCCTTGTTCAGACATCATAAATTGTAAGCATTAAAATTAGGTAAATAATGTCAATCCAGGGCATGAATAACTTATTACAAATACGATATTATCGAGAATAAAGTAAAATTTTTATAAACATTCTTAGGTCTCAAAACCCATTTTTAGAAATGAAAATACAATGATTTAGTTCTCATTTCATGTCAGAGATACAGAACTAGAAAGAGCATTGTATTCACACTTATGACAAGAAAAATGTTGGCCAAACTATAAACTTATAACTTCTCTGAGCCTATTGGAGTGCTAATGTCTCAAGACAAATTACTAGGGTAATTTTTGGAGAAAGATAGGTACTCACAGAGAAAAGTAAGTATAAATTTGGTTACTTGGGACAAATCCTGACAGATCTTGTATGTTATAGATTGAATTTTGTACCCAAGAAATCCATATGTTGAAGCCACAAGCCCTAGCAACTCAGAATATAAACTTATTTAGAAATAGAGTAATTTTTTTTTTTTTTGAGACGGAGTCTTGCTCTGTCACCCAGGCTGGAGTGCAGTGGCACAATCTCAGCTCACTGCAAGCTCTGCCTCCCGGGTTCATGCCATTCTCCTGCCTCAGCCTCCCAAGTAGCTGGGACTACAGGCGCCCGCCACCATGCCCAGCTAATTTTTTGTATTTTTAGTAGAGACGGGCTTTCACTGTGTTAGCCAGGATGGTCTCGATCTCCTGACCTCGTGATCCACCCGCCTCGGCCTCCCAAAGTGTTGGGATTACAGGCGTAAGCCACCGCTCCCGACCATATATATGATTATTTAAGATGAGGTCATAATGGAGTAAAGTGGGCCCCTAATCTGTATGAATTGTGTTCTTATAAAAATAAAACTAATTTGAGCTCACACACAGGAGAATACCACGTGAAGATTGAGGGGTATGATGTCACAAGCCAAAGACCTCCAAAGAGTTCCAGCAAACCACCAGAATCTCAGAGAAGGGTATGGAACGCACGCTTCCTGGAGATCCTCAGAAAAAAACAATTCTAAAGACACCTTGCTGTCAGACTTTTGGCCTGCAGGACTGGAAGAAAATAAATGTCTGCTGTTCTAATGACCTGATCTGTGAGTTCTGTTTTGTTTTGTTTTGTTTTGTTTTTTGTCCTTTTGTTTCTTTCTGCAGCTGAGGTAAACTAGTACTTTATATGCTATGGTCCGAATGCTCCCCAAATTCATGTACTGAAACTTAATATTTGCTGTAGTGGTATTAAGAGGTGGAGTCTTTGGGGAAATGATTAGATCTTCAGCCTCTGCCTTTATGAAAGGGTTTGTGCCATATACAAGCACTGAAGGGAACTCACTTTAGCACCTTTTGTCCCTTTTGTCCTTCGCATCTTGTGCCATGTGATGACAAAGCACTTGTTCCTTTGGCCCCTCTGCCTTCCAGCCGAAGAAGACAGCGTTGATGGAGCAGTCTCTCGCCAGACCACAGACATGCTGTGCCTTGGTCTGGGACTTCCCAGCCTTCAGAATCTTGAGAAATAAAATTCTGGTCTTTAAAAATTGTTTAGCCTCAGGTATTTTGTTATAGCAGCGCAAATGGACAAATTGCTGTATGCCAAATGCAGGGTAGTGTGAGAGTGTGAACCTCCTGGGCTTCGTGGGTACCCAAGTGTTCTCGTGATCATGCAGGCCTTTCCACCGTGAGTACAAACAGCAGCTCACTAAGAAGATTCTCGAGAAAGGTGCTTGAGGGGAGGACACTGGAAAACTTCTCTGAGTGTTGGGCAGGGCCAGAGGGGTAGAAAAGCAGCCCTTGCTGAAACTTCTCCCAAGATCCATGTGCTCTATTTCCATTCACAAAAAAAGAGAAAATTTGTAACAATAAAAATTGCTGCCTTTAGGCTTGAGTGGAAACTCACTGGGGCTGGTGGAAGGGGACAGGAAGATCAAAACTTCACACCTGGAAGAAGGGCACAAATGCGTGCTAGGCCCAACACTGAAGCTGGAGTGCGAAGAGGAGCATTTGGGAGTTGACACACCTGAGAACCAATACACACACTTGAGAACCCAGGTAGACCACACACACACACACACACACCCCTGAGACCCAGGTACGCAACGGCTGCCTAAGACTAAGCCTTAATCAGAAAATCAGAGGATGACTTCTGTCCCCAGCCCACATCACCACAGTTAGAAGATTTCGAAGAGACACATTCTTTCTGGAGAGTAGTGCATAGGCTTACAGGGCTGGGAGGAAGAGCCAAGTAGAGAGAAGAAATTGAAAGAAAGAAACTCTCTGGAAAACCAGGCCAGACAAGTGCCACTTAAAAACAATGCATCACTGGAAGAATATGACATTCAGTGCCTATGGCCAATCTAATGATAAATTCACTCCCAGCACAATTTCTGACTATATTAACTCAAACCCCTACACTAAAGTGATATCCAATAAGAAAATATATTCACTTCACTACCTGCTCTCCTGTGCACTACTTTTCTGGCTTTTAACAAACAACAACAACCAAAAAAATAAAATAAAATAAAATAAATAAAAAAGCCTACCAAAAGGCAAGAACAATTTAAAGAGACAAAGCAATGATCAGAATCAGACTCAGATGTGACACAGATGTTGAAACCATCAGGTAGAAAATTTTAAATATTTATAATTAGACATTAGAAAATCTAATGGACAAGCTAGACATAATCAATGATTAGATAGGTAGTTTCAGCAAAGATAAAGAAACTTTAAGAAAGCATCAAATGGAAATGCTAGAAAGTATAGAGTAATGGAAGTGAAGTGTTCCTTTGTAGTAGGTTTGACAAAATAAAAGACTCAGTGAATTTGAAAGCAAGTCAGCAGAAATCACTCAAACTGAAGTTGAAAGGAAAAAACAGTGGGTAGAGAAAATAGAGGAATTTAAGAAATGTGGGATAAAAGTGCTGTGTAACCTGTGCAAAACTGGCATCACAGAAGTAAGAGAGAGGAGAGGGAATGAGACAGAAAACATACTTGAAGAAATAATAGTCAAGAACTTTTTGAATTATAACAGACTCCAAAACACATATCCAAGAAGCCTAAAGGAAACCAAGCAGGGTAAATACCAAAAACAAAAAATGCCAAAACCAAACACACATATACAAACAAACACCCACACAGGCATATACTATTCAAAGTGCTGACAAAGAGTGACTTTACCGTACAGAAACCCGACAGCACTTAGCCAGGTGATTAAGGTTGAACATTGGCTGTAAAAGTCTTGGTGATATCATGCACTCCCTGATCTGACATGATAAGAAGAGTACTTCACCTCTAAGGTATTTATCACCAAAACCCCATAACTCCAGGGTAATCATGACACAACATCGGATACAGCCATATTGAGAAGTATCTTACAAAAATCACAGACCGCAACTTTTCAAAAGTCCCAATATCATGGAAGACAAGGAAAAACTGAGAAACTGCCACAAATTAGAGAAGAATAGAAGACACATAGACATATAGAAGAAGGCAAATAGATGCAATGTGAATTCCAGGATTCGATACTGGAAGAGAAAAATGACATCAATGGGAAAACTAGTGAAATCAGAACACAGCCCTTAGCTTCATTATGGTATCATAGTAATGCTAATTTCTTAATTTTGATAAGGACACCTTGGTTATGCAAGACGTTAACATTAGTGAAATCTGGATGTAGGGTCTCTAGAAACCGTGAATATATTTGGAATATTTCTATAAATACAACCTGATTTAAAAAAAACAGCTGGACTTTGAAATATTTGAACAACAATAAAAAAGCCATGCATTTTGACAGAGGTGCATTTGGAATTCAGTGTACAAATCTAATACAGTTTCTGTTTTCAGGTAGAGAGAAATCTTGAGAATAGATCCAAGGTTTATTGGGGAATATTGAATGGGTGAGTCTTGAGAGCATACAAAATAATATTTATGAACTTTAACATTGGTTTGAAATATGTCTGTGTGTGTGTATATATGTGTAATATATGTGTATATGTATATATGCATACATATAGTAGACACGTGGTAAGGTAGAAGAAAATGTCATTTAGTAGGAAGTCAGAAGTCTTATTATGTATAAATCAGAAGAAGCAAATTAACGTTGCAATCAAGTATTTAAAAAATTGAAAAAATACAAATTTACAGAGCCAATAAATTGATATTCAGACCAAAATTTAGACTGTTTTATTCTGCATTTCTGTAAATGCTTTAATTCATAAGAGTTAACCCCCAAAACTTCTCTGTCTAGATTTTTCTCAACCACAGTAAGAAAATATGCTTTAAATATAATATCAAACAAAGGAAAACTTGGTTTTTGTTTTTGGAGTTTTTTTTCCCCGCTAAAACAACCATCTCCTACACTCTCATGTGTTACTGCTCTATCTGGAATCTAATGTACAAAGTAGAGAGGGAATAGATGTAAAAATAACCTTTAAATACTCAATAATTTGATTGACCTTAACTATCTTTATCTTCATGGAAGAAGAGACTCTGAGGCCTTTTTTCCTTCCATAAACAGAATACATTTTTTCTTTCAAATTGTACAAAATGCACACACATTTTTCACATTCTAGTACCCCTGACAGCCTGTTCCTAATTGAACCAGTTTTTAGCTTCACAGTTTGGTTTTGCAGAACGATGAGAGATATCAAATGTTCCCTCTGAACCGATGTTTCAAAATTTTCTCTAATAATTTATTAAATAGATTTTACTGATATATGTATTACTAAATTTTGTCCCTTGTAAAGATTCCATCAAAACTTAAAATATGATCAACTTTGAAACTTGTGAAACAATATTTTTTTCTGTGTAATTGTTTGATTTTCCTTAGGGCTTCCTTAGGCTTTTTCTTAATCAGGCACTGTTAAACATGCTGAATTTGCAGCACTCAAAAGGAAAGTACATTTCAACAAAGCATTAAAATACCATAGAATCCCTGAATATAAAATCTGTCTTGACACTTCCTAATCAATGAAGTTCAGCTTTCAGAATATGTGGTGGAAATCTTGCATTCTCCAGTTTACTGTCACCACTTACAGTCATAGGTAAGTTTGGAAACCAGATAGTCAGAATAAGATAACACGCTAAAAGATTCAGGTAATAGCTGACCTTCATCAAACACAGAAATGCACAAATACTGTACTTTATGCATAGCTGCTACAGATACTAAAACTCAGGTTTCTTCTGACCACTCTAAGCATACTGACATCAGCTTGTAATGATTTGCACAGGTCTTGAGAGCAAAACTGTAATATTCAGTAAGATAAAGGGATAGAAAATATTATCTTATTTAATTTTTATACTTTTTCATACAGTTTATTAAACAACCCTTTTACCTGCCCTCAATCACCTGGCTTCTTTATCCCTCTCTTTATGCTTGCTTTAGTTTAAGAAAAAGAAAAGAAGAGTCATAGGAAGAAAGAAATATTAAGAAAGATGTTTGAACAAAAAATAAAATAGACACTGGTATGAAAAATAAAGAAAGTAATGTAATTTCACATTAGTTAAGAGAAAACAGAAGTGGCAGAACCATTTTCCAAGAATATAGTAAATGAGAGAAGGCTTCTCTCATTTTAGAACTGTTTTCAGAGGTTCTGAGATCAATTATCACCCTACAGATACGGTACATTCCTGATCATTGAGAGCAAGTGTCTTCATTTTCATTGTCATGTGCTTTTTAACCAGCTGAGAGCCAACAAATGTAGAAATAACTGCCAGATAATTTTTATTAAAGTTTTTATGAACCTTTTTTAAATATTATCATTGTCTTTACTTATACATTTAAGGCTATAAAAATTCTCCATGAATTATTTTTCACAATGAAGAATTATCTCAGGAATGCTAAAAACCTAGGAGGGCAGGAGAAAATACCTTATCCTCTATACTTCTAAACTCTATTTCTTCCAAGAAGACTGAACATGGGTAAGCTAAAAGCAAACAAAATTTTAACACTTGTGTTTATACAAACAGCCACAACTGAAGTTATTTTTCTTCCTTTTTCACAAAATATTTATACTTTTTAAAATGAAATCTTGAATCCCTTTTTTTGAAATCATTTGGAATCCAGTATTTCTCTTGAGAGGCAGTGCAGAAATTGAA